GTGGTAAAGACAGTCAAAACAAGTTATAAGATAGCTTGATGAATGCTGTACAATATTGGGTACAATTGAGATTTAAATAAAAGGAACCCAAGATAGAATTTTTTTAAGCCACCTAAAGGAAATTACTTGACATGTGAATTGAATTTAACCAGGATCACCATAGCATTTACCATCCAAACAGGAATTTTTAAAAGTCAAAGGGAGAACAAGTATAAACCAGGATGTATGGTTATCTTAGATCTAACCAAAGGGGAAGAGTGTTTGAGGGAGAAAAAATTTTATGTGAAAGAGGACAAGGCCTATTAAAGTAACTAACAAATCTCAATTTAGTGAGTTTATAAACTGTAAGGAAGAAAATTAGGCTAGAAAAGCAAGGAGAGATCAGATTCTAAAGTCCTTGTAAATCAGAAAGGAACCTGCAGCACTGTATTCCAAAGACAGTAAAAGTTCAAAGCAAAGACATGACATAATTGTTGGAAAAAGATAAGTTGATTGTGGTGTGGAAAAAGTGTGAACAAAGAAGGGGATCAGTAGCAATCATTTGGGGAGAAATGGAGAGTATGTATGGGCTTTTGGAGTCATGAAATGTTTTGTAATTGTGTTGTTTGCTATTTGAATTACAGCTCAAGAAAGCGGTTTTGTTTTTTAAAAGATTTAGGAAATTAAGTTCTCAAGGTGAAATGATATGGGCTTTAGATTGATGTGTTAGAAATGAAGATGAGTTCAAGAGATAACTTAAGAGAAACTAGAAGGCCCTTTGATTTACAGGATATGGAGATGAGGGAGAGAGGAAAGTCAAATTAACTCCCAAGATTCTGGCCTAAACAGCAGGATGGATGATGGTGCTGTTTACTGAAAGATCTTAAGACATGTTGGGTGTGAGATAACTGAGATACTCAAGCTAGAGATTTGTTTTGGACTGTTTGTGTCCCTCCAAAATTCATTTGCTGAAACTCTAATCTCAGTGTGATGGCATTGGGAAGTAATTAGGTTACGAGTGTGGAGCCTTCGTGACTCTCATTAGTACCCTTGTAAGAGGCCAGAGGTCTTGCTCCATCTTTTTTTTGCCACGTGAGGATACAAGAAGTCAGCAGTCTATATTAGCCCAGGAAAGTGTCCTCATCAGAATCTGACCATGATCTGACTCTGACCTCAGACTTCCAGACTCCAGAACTGCGAGAAACAAATTCCTAAGCCACCTAGTCTATGGCACTTGGTTATAGCAGCCCAAGCTAAGACAATATCCAAGTCAGGCTCTCAGATGAAGGTCTAGGCCGAAGGAAATCAACAGAAGTCACTGAAGTAAACAGTACTGGTTAAGGCATGTGTGAATATACAAAATCAAGATGTAAAAGAGGTGAAGTCAGCTTCTGAGGAAAGGCCCCAGAGGTAGGAAGAAAACCAGGCGAGTGTAACGTCACAAGTCCAGTTTAGAGTCTTTCAAATAAAGTGTTCAACAGTGTAAAGTGCTATTATGTGTCAAAGCAAACCAGCAGAGTCCAGTCTGGACTTAAAAAAAAAAAGGAAAAGAAAAGAAAGAAAAAGAGGGGCGCCTGGGTGGCTCAGGCAGTTAAGTATCCAACCCTCGATTTCAGCTCAGGTCATGATCTCACAGTTCTTGAGTTCAAGCCCCGTGTTGGGTTCTGACAGCATGGAGCCTGCTTGGGATGCTCTCTCCCTTTCCTTCTGCCTCTCTCGCGCTCACTTGCATGCTCGTGCTCTCTGAAAATAAACTTAAAACAAACAAAACAAAGTTCAAGTTTCAGTAGAGTGATAGTGGCAGAAACCAGGCTCACATGGTTCAGTGGTAAATGGTGAGATACGGTTTGTCAAAGGCAATTCCAGGAAGGAATTAGGTTTTGAAGGGGGAAAGAAGGAAGGGGGTGAGGAGGAAAAGACTGTTTTACAAAAAGGTTTGGTCATGTTTAAAGAGAAAGGAAAAGAGCCAACTAGGGAAGTTGAAGGCAGTGAAGGGATGAGAAGGCAGCTTCAGAATCAGGGAGGATTGCTTCAAGCTTAAGGTTTGGGTAGAGTCCGGGAATCTGTATTTAATCCTGACAAGATTCTGGTGCACAAGCAAGTTTGGAAGCCAGAGTAATCATAGAGCAGACTTTGCAAGAAGCTTGGAAAAGATGGTATCTTTAATACAGATCCTTGACTCTTTTATTTTCTCTCTGAATAGAAGAGGAAGAACTTGTAGTGGAGGAAGGTACAGATTTAGTGATGCAGTTCAGAGTTTGCGCTCTATCATTTTCCTGTGAAATAGTAATCTGCTCCCAGAGTTGGGGAAGGTGAAGATTTCCTGACTGGAGGTTTCAAATTGCTTCGAATAATGAAGGGTAGCTTGCTACTATTGAGGATCTAGTGGTTGTGGATGGTGACCGCAGATGATACAGTGGCACCAATCTGTGCCATCATGTGGTTTCCTCTGGCAGTGCTCAGCAGCCCAACAGTAATCAGGCAGAGAGCTGAACTCATCGACGATTCAGGTTTTGCCCCACAGTGACAAAATAATGACAGGAAAACAAAGGAGTTTAGGATATTGCCAAGAGTGGCCGGAGCATTAAGATGACAGACCTAAACTGGATGGAGAGCTAAGTGAAGAAAAGAGATGACTACTACTAGTGGAACTCCTAATGAGAATAATTTGGGTTTGACTATTTCAAACTCAAGGCCCTTTACATGTATCAGCTTTTGTTCAACATTTTTATCACCAACTATGCTACACTGCAAGGGGACGCAGCTGTACATAAGAAGACCCCTCCCCTCAAAAACATCGTTTTGTAGAAGAGTGCCAGTAAGAGCACTCAACAGAATGGTACAATTAACAGGTCAAGGTACAAGGTACTAAGGATGTGTGAGAAGGGACTCTTTCCAGCACAGGGGAAGAGGTGGTTAGCAGGGAAGCATTCATTTAAAAACTGCCCCCAAGCCAAATAAGATAAAAACGGAGAGGGGGCAAACCATAAGAGATTCTTGAATACAGAGAACAAACAGGGTTGCTGGAGGGGTGTTGGGTGGGGGGATGGGCTAAAATGAGTGATGGGCATTAAGGAGGACACTTGAGATGAGCATTGGGTGTCATAAATGATGAATCACTGAATTCTCCTGAAACCAATACTACACTACATGTTAACTAACTTGAATTAAAAAACACAAAACAATACCCTGCCCCAAGTAGATCTTAAATACAGAAAGACAGCTACAGGCAGAATAGAATAGCAAAAGCCCGATTAGAAGTTAAAGTATAGGGGAAAACAATGTTAAGATGAGGCTGTAAAAGTAATTTAAAGTCAAATTACAGAGAGCCTTAAAAGTGCCAAAGAATTTGGGACCTTATTCAGTAGGCAGTGAGAGGCAGTTAAAGTTCGTAAACATGATTGGCAATGTGCTGTAGGAAGACTGGCAATCCAGAATGAGATCCTTATTTAAGGCCTAAACCAAGGGTTCTTTCTCAATGTGACTGCCCAAAAGAATCACCTGTAGTGCTTTGAAAGACACTGTTGCTTGGGTCCTTGAGTCCACCCACCAGAAATTGTGGTTTGTTTTGTTTGGGATGAGGCTCAGCAATTTAAACGTACTCCAGATGATCCTAATCTGGGACCAGGGTTAAAGCCTTGTCTCTGTGTCTCTAAAGTTGATGTTGATACAGTAAGGTTCAAATCAGACAACAAAGGAAAGCCAAATGTGTGTGTGTGTGTGTGTGTGTGTGTGTGTATGTCAGAATGCTGGAAAAAAACAAAAAACCACTTGTAACAAGTTAAACTGCCCCAGTAAAATTAAAAGCACACCGTTGCCATCACAAGAGATATCGTATATATACAATTTATTTAATAAATTAATGTCATTCAAAATACAGTGCCAGAACATGATGCAGTTGAACATGCTAGTGATGTCGTCATGAAGCACCTGTGCTCATGTTAGGTTGGCGGCGCCCCCGCTACTGCTAGTGGTTCCTGGGATTAATGCCAGAGCAGCACTAGTTATCTGCTCTTCTGCACAGCTAGTGCAGAGAATTCCTGAACAGTTCACCTTTCTAATCCTACCCCACCCCCCCACACACATGACAGGTTAAAAAAAAACACACCCTGACAGCTAATGGATATCTATACACAATCACTCTACAGTAATGCTTGTTATTAAATTAAGATGTAATGACCTGGTTAACCCACTCTAAATCTTTAAGATGGAGAAATACAACAGCAGCAGGTAGTTATACGCATGAGCCAATGTTAATGTAATACAGAGAGTGGAGGCATTTATTGATTAAAGCTCCACACAGACCCGCACAACAAGGGACTAGCAATTCTTATTGCAAGCCCAGCAACTTAAGTCCACACCTGGTAAATGACCAGCTGATTGGAAGACCTGTATTCTAGATAGACAAGTATAAGTTAGTGAAAAGAGAGTACATGCACCTAATAGTATAGTTAGACTGATCCTGCAGTCATAGCTCTCCCTGTGCAATATACCATGAAGTGGAAGATCTTCCTCAACTATAGTATAGGATTTAGACAACACTTCTATACCAACATGGACACTAGTGTTAAGTGCAGCTGAATTAATTACACTGAAAAAACAGCTGTATTTCAGGACTTCAGAACAGAAGCACGGGAATGAAATACATATACTAAAAATAACCTCAGCACAATCTGTGATATACCACACTAGGAACAGGAAACTACTTTAATAAGTGAACTTTTTGAACTGTACATAACACAGGGCTAACGATGTTAGATAATCCAGATTCTTATGCTCTCATGATACATGTAAAAGTTTCTCAATTATTGGATAATCTATTTCATATTATGGAAGCATATCTTTCTGTAAGACTCACTGATATATATTATACTGATGCAAATATTAAGTAGGGCATAAAAATAAAATTTATCAAAGATAGATTTTTATGTACTCATATTTAGTCCTTTCATAGCCTCTCTTGTTTAGCAAAGAAAATGACAAAGCACATAAATCAGGCGTGCACTCCCTAAACTCCCCAACTATACAGGTGGTAGTGCAACCATTTCTCCATCCAGTTCAAACTCCTCTGTCCCATCCGGTGAAAAAAGGTAAGTTGGTGGTTTCCATGGAGATTCTTCAAGGCAGGATGGATAAAGTTTCCCCACAGTGCACCGGAAATCTCTCCCTAAGTCCCACAGTACACGTTCAGATATATGCTGCCGCAGAGACCACCGGTCAAGTTCCAGATCATACTGGTAGGTGACGTATTTAGCTCTCTCATTTAAGTGGGTTTCTCGCATGAACACACAAAGAGAATTTGAGATCACAACAGCTCTAACGCAGGGGTCTGAGTACCTCTTAGCAGGGATGTTGGCTGCCATTTTCCACTCGTTTTTATTCACATCGTAAATTTCCACAGTTACTGAAGACCCATCGACAGTGCCAGAGGGGAGTCTTATGCCAGAATTGGTAGCAATGTGCAACCCTCCAATATAGAAAATTTTATCACCAAAAGCTGCAGCTGAAGCAAAAGACCTGGTAGTCTGTCTCATGGCCATTTCCACCCATGAATCAGACCTTGGAAAATAACAGTACATGAGGTTCAGTGTCATCACATAAATGCAGTCATGAACCACAACTGCTGCGCTCCACTGCCAAGCACAAGGCAAAGGGCTTACCATTGTCCACTCATCCTTCTCAGTATCATATCGTTCCACGGTCCTCCGATTAAGTTCTCCACCTACACTGTCTCCTCCAATTGCATAGATATAGCCTTCACAGCAAACCAAAGATGGCTTTATGCGGACAAAAAGCATTGGGGTCTTTGGAAACCAGGTATTTTGCTGTGCATCAAACCAATAAAAGCAATTCACAGTTCTGAAGGCAGTCTGAAGTTTGCTTGTTTTACTGTGATTTGTTTTTGTGTTTTTCAGAGGAACTTGACCACCTGCTATATAGATGTCATTATCAGGAGTTACAACAGTCCCAACCTTCTGCAAATCAGCTGGTGGGCTGCACAGCTTGTAAACTTTTTCTGCTTGGGGGCTGTAACAGACAGAAGAGTAAAGACTACAAGGATTTTCTGAAGATGCCTCAATGAAAATCATCATCTCCTCTTTAGTCATTCCAAGTCTTGGTTTGAAAAACTTGGGCATAGACTTATACAGACCTTGAACCACTACAGACTTGTCATTGGGTGGGAGGCCTTGGAACCAAGCTCTCTGTGTTACTTCTGAAAGTGCATCAATTCTGATTTGGCTAAGAACTGAAGACAAATACTGGGATCGTGATTCTGTGTTGTACTCTAGCCACAGCATAGCAGCTTCGCGAACTGTCTCCTCCTTTTCAACATTTAAATTGTCACTACTGAGGATGTCTATCAGTAGGTCATGTGACAGCTGCATGAATGCTTCCTGGTGATACACAGCAGTGAACTTGTGCTCTACCATTCTTTTAGCACTTTGCTTTAATTCTTCACAACTGAACAGATCAGCAAAACTCAACAATCGCACACAATTCTCTGCATTGATTTTCTTAATTAAGTATTCTCGACAACGCTGTAATACATCTTCTACCTAAAATGGGAGGAAACAAAAGGTTGATAAAGACAGGACAAATTTTACTTTTACTGTAAAACACAAGCATATTAATCAGATCCCTATACTACGGTTTGTTTTTATTTTTTTTTTAAATTTTTTTTTTCAACGTTTTTATTTTTGGGACAGAGAGAGACAGAGCATGAACGGGGGAGGGGCAGAGAGAGAGGGAGACACAGAATCGGAAACAGGCTCCAGGCTCTGAGCCACCAGCCCAGAGCCTGACGCGGGGCTCGAACTCACGGACCGCGAGATCGTGACCTGGCTGAAGTCGGACGCTTAACCGACTGCGCCACCCAGGCGCCCCTACGGTTTGTTTTTAGATATGTATGTTTGGGCTAAGAGATAATGCCTTCCAGTAATAATAAAATTATAAGATTATGCATAGTTTCGTATTTCTTCTTGTCCAGTGGCCTACTTAAGTGCCCTATTTAAGAGCTAATAATGTAACATTTAAAAGGCTCTTAAAAATAGCCTTACAGGAAAAGAAAATTTCTGCATAATTTTTTAGGCTTTAAAAAATATACGACTGAGAAAACCAAAGGGAAAACAATGTAAATATATCATAGTACATAAATGATTATCATTTATCATCATAAATGGTTATTATTGAGGAACCAGAATCTGGTTTTCTCAACATGGACAAGGTAGTCATTTATAAAACAAGAAAATCATGCACAATGACTACGTACCTATTTGCCTTTCTTATCTAGAGAGGTAACATAACCAAAGGTACAATAAACACATTCATGTGCCGTTGTAAATTACCTACATTTAAATGACCCACCATAGCCATTCTGTTTCCCAGATTTGTTTTTTTTTTTTTTTTTTTTTTT